CAAGGCAAAAGGCCACTCATATCACCACAGTCCATCCTCTAGCCTTTTCACCATGGGTTCTTCGCATACATTTTACCAGTCCAAATCAGTTATTAACAAATTAGTCCATTCGTTGGGCAGAAATTCTCAGGGTGAGGTCACTTAGGTACCAGCCACTCAGGTCTCCTGCAAGTGTCCACCTGATCTGGTCAGGTTCTCTTAAGTCGTCCCAGCTTCTCCCTTGATGATAAACTTTTACTGAGAGACTATTATTCCCTTGCTCTGAGCCTCTTGAGTTATTAGCAAAGTAAAATCTTTATGGGATATTAGGTTTGGCCACTGTACTCCAGTCCAGCAGTACCCCCTCCCTAACCCACTCTCTGAGTTACAACTTCTACAATTACAGTTTCTACAATCACAGTGAACCCTGTTAACAATCAACATTCACAAATGAATCATACAATCAGATCAGCATCTTCCCCCACCCTCTCTTCCCCAGACCCATCAGGAAAAGAAGAATCTAATAGTGAGGGATCCTCCCCTGTCTTCCTCATTTTGAGTGTAAGCACAATCACAAAAGCATGTAAGCCAGCCACTTCATGCTATATGTCCCCTGGTTTTAGACAGCCAATGTTTAAATTGCCCATCCCAACCAAACCGATACTCTGAGGAGATAAGCATGGTCCGTGGTCTGAAAAACCTGTTCTGGTTGTAACTTGAGCATCAGCATCCATAAGCAAAGTCCAGTGCAGGGGCAAGCCATCAAACTGCAGCAATCTCCACCAACTCATGGTGTCAAACATCTCTCTCTTTTCCTCCTTTACCTGGAACCAGGTCACTCATCCCCATTTTGTCAGGGTCAGCTCATCCCTAGCTATCCAAAGCTAGGTGAATGGGTATGAGCCATAGCCTTGGGAGTCCATACAACTTCCTGCACTTCAGACCAGCCAGTCCCTTCTGTCTCATCCCTAGCCACCCGGGTCTAGGAACGGGTGCAAAGGAACAGGTCCAAACTCAGCCCGTGTCGTCATCGCTGCACCTCCCCCACTTCTAAGCACACTGTGGACTCAGGTAGTCAACTCAAGTGAGCATACCAAGTTATCTACTCACCAGCTTCCATTAACTTCCAGTCTTGGAAGGGGCTCTTCTGATGGGCACTGACATGTCCTATTCAGCACACCCTTAAGATTGCATAAGGCTGTGCACCACATAAACATCCCTTTACTGTTCATTCACCAAACATCTGTTTGGTCAACCAAACCTTCAATGACTGTGGTACCTTCAATCAAATCCAATGGTCTCTCAAATGCAAATTTCTTGATCTCATGAGCTTTTGGCATAAGCCCCATTTACTCTTTCCCCTTTTTGTATATCCAATCAAGTACTGCCTGAAGGGCAGAGTTACATGCTCTGTGTTTTTGTTACAATACCCACTATTTCCACCATACATCAAGTCTGTCTTACACCACTAGGCAGAGACAACATTCCTTCAATCAGGTAAATATAGTATATGTGGATAAAACATAGTTTTAAACAGTCCAGTCTCATCTTCTTTCTCCCATTCTCTGGCTATCTTACCCATGTGCAAGCTTTTGATCTTAGGTCTCTAGATGCATTGAACCAGAAGACCCTGGCCCCCTATCAATCACCTTCCTTAACGTTCTGGGCCTTCAGGCCAAGCCACTCCAGATGCAGCTTTCCTATTCATTGCTGTAGCATAACATCTCTAAGTTTTCTTTCAGCATTACAGATAGCAGCAATAAAAATAACCACCTAAGAATCAAGAGTTTCCCACCTCATGCCTGTTCATCCTTTCTCTTCCGAAGTCCCATGCTTCCATGAGTCAGGAGCCACTGCAACAAATCCCACTTCTGATGCCAACTATGAAACAGTAGTAGTAATAGTAGCATCGGAACCTATTTAACTTCAGGAGAAACAGTGACCAGGAACAGCCCAAAACTGATTCCTATGAGGTGGAAGTCAGACATACTTCCATTCTCTAACCTTTTTACCAATTCTGACAACAGCTGCTCCTCCCAAGACACTCTTGACTTCTCTTCTAGGCTTGATAAGTCATTGTAATGGCCACAGAGAACTCAAACATCATACTTACAGTTAAGTGATTTATTAAGGAAGTAACAGGATACAACTTGGAATCAGGATCAAGAGACTACAACTTGGGATATCAGGAAGCATGTAGGCAAAGCCTCCCCCAAAGCGTAGAGCACATACCTCCCTTCTTCAGTGCAAGACAAGTCTCTCAGTTCCTCTCAGCCATGCAAGCAAGGAGGCCCTTCTGCCAAGTACATCCTTTATTTGCTGTGCATGCCCTCTTGATGTCACGCACACTCCCTCTCGGACATCTCAGAACAGGCCTCCTCTCAGCTTCCTGAGGACAGGAGACTCCTGAGGACAGGCCTACTCTGCCATTACGATCAACTCTGCTGCAATGCCCCTTCTGGGCCTGTCATCACTAGTTCTGTCACTGGGCTCCTTCTGGGCCTGTCACCATCAGCTCTGCCACAGAGCCCTAAGTCTCTGTCTTCAGTGTTACAGCCTTTGACCTGTTATAGCTCTTATAGGAGGTTCCTTGCCTCCTCTCCTTTCTTCTGCTTCTGCCTGCCTCCTGTCTCAAAAACTGCTGTGGGGTTGGCTGCATATATAAACAAACTCCTTGCCAACTTCAAGGAATGGCTCTCCCACTAGGGCCAAGACATGACCAATGTCCTCTCTGTAGGCCAGAGACACTTCATTTGCATAGTAGGCTATAGTAACTTCATTTGCATAGTCTATTGACCAATCCCTGCAAGGTGCACACCAATCACAGGGCATGCTGCAGCCCAGGACCAGACCAAAAGTATCAAATTACAAGTTGTTTACAGCTTACCCAGGAAATGTCAATCAACCTAGATAAAAATAACAAACCCTCCAGGGTAGAGAACTAGAACAAAGGTAACTCCTCAGAGCTAAGAGGAAAAATACCTCTCAATCTATTTTCCAAAGAATCAAGGGAAAAGGCCACATAAGGGAACTCATCTCACCACAATGTCCACTTACGGGTGGTGTAAAAGGTTAAGTGCCTGACTACTAACTGAAAGGCTGTTGGTTTGAACCTACCCAAAGGTGCCTCAAAAGGCAGGCTGCGGAAAGGTCACAACCTTGAAAATCCTTCTCAGTTGTATTCCACACATTAAGAGATCACCATGAGTTGCAATCAGCTTGACAGCAACTAACCACCACCAACACTGAAGAAAGTCTGGTCCTCACGGAGCTGGAGCTTACACTCTCACTGACACTGATTTATTTCACGTGCATCTTTTTACTCTTGTTAAAGGCCTGACACCATTTGGTTATCACTTTTAAGTCCTCTCTGCTGTGTATGCTGACGAACCTGAAGGTTGGTTTTTTTTTTTTTTAATTAAAGCCCTCATCATACCACTCTTAGAGGGTTCTCTGTCATGTAGTTTCTTTGTAAACTGTGATATATTGAGCTTTGGCTGAAATACTGACCACATTAACAAGTTTTCTCTCCTATTTGGATTCTGATGATTGTTGAGGAATGCAAACCCCTCTTGAGTTCTTAAAACATATCATCTTCAAGAGTTTCCCCTCTTGGTGGCTAACTCTGAGTTATAGAATATGCCCTACCACACACCCCTTATGTTTTTTCTCTCCATTTGTGGACTCTCTGATAAGCCTGAAGATGAGGAAATGTATAGGGTTTATCTCCTAAATGAAATGTGAGAAGATATGAGCTCCAACTAAAGCCCTCCCCATAGTTTTCACATGTGTAGGGTTTCTCTCCTGTGTGAACTCTCTGATGGGCACAGAGACTTATTATTTAAAACCCTTACAACCCTTATCATATTGATGGGCAGGGTTAGGAGGGGTTCTCCCATAGGAACTTGATCATTGTGAGATGTGGGTCTTCCACCAAAACCTTTTCCACATTCCTCACATTTTTAGGGTTTTTCTCCAGTATGGATTTTCCGGTGAATTCAAGATGCAAACTCTGACTAAAACCCTTCTAACAAGTCACAGTTATAGGGTATCTCTCCTATGGGGACTCCTTCATGAGCATGGAGATTACATGCTCTGATTGAAGTCCTTGTTAAAAGTTCTATAATGAAGATGGAGTCTCAGATGAAACTGAAGATGTGAATTCTAAAACTCTGATCATTGGATCACATGTGTATGGTTTCTCCTGTGTGGACTCTCTGGTGAATATGAAGAAATGAACTACGAAGAACTTAGTACATGCATAATCACACTTGTATGGTTTCTCACCAGTGTGGACTCTCAGATGGGCTAGAATATTTGAGCTCCAGTTGAAGCTCTTCCCACACTTCTCACATCTGTAGGGTTTCTTTCCTGTGTAAATTCTGATCGGTATGGAGACTTGATTTATTATTAAAGCCCTTACCACACTTATCACATTGATAGGGAGTTTTTCCCTTATGGACTTACTGATGCTAAGTGTAGATTTTCTGCTGAAGCCTTTCCCACACTCATTACATTTATAGGGTTTTTCTCCAGTGTGGACTTTCTGATGAATGTGAAGATACAAACTCTGACTAACCCCCTTCTCACACCTGCCACACTTGTAAGGCTTCTCTTTTATGTGAAATTTTTCACATGCATGGAGGTATGTGTTCTGACTGAAGTTCTTATAAGTTTTATCATAATGATGAATTTGAAGACATGAACTCTGACTGAAAGTCTTACATGTGTCACATTTGTATGGCTTCTCTTTAGCATGCACTGTCTGAGGAACTTGAAGATATGACCTCCGAATGAAACCCTTACCACACACATTTGTACGGTTTATCTCCTATGTGGACTCTCTGGTGGACGTGAAGAGATGAACTATAACCAAAGACCTTACTACATGCATCACATTTGTATGGTTTCTCACCAGTATGAACTCTTAGATGAGCTTGAAGATGCGAGCTCTAACGAAGTGTTTCCCACGCTTCTCAAATTCAAAGGGTTTCTTTTCTGTGTGGCCTTTACAATAAATATCATGATCTGCTATTGCGAGCTGATGGTTTCTCTACTGTGTGAATTCTCTGGTGTGCGTGAAGATAAGGGCGCTGACTGAAGCTCTTACCACATACCACACATTTAAATGGCTTCTCTCCAGTATGAATTCGCTGATGAACCAGAAGATATGAACTCCGACTGAAGCCCTTAGCACATATGTTACATTTATATGGTTTCTCTCCGGTATGGATTCGCCGATGAGCTTGAAGATGTGAAGTCTGACTGAAGCCCTTACCGCATTCCTTACATTTATAGGGTTTTTCTCCTGTGTGGACCCTCCTATGGACATAAAGATGTGAGGTCCAATTAAAGCTCTTCCCACATTCTTCACACTTGTAAGGTTTCTCAACTGTGTGAATTCTCTGATGGATACGGAGACTAGCTTTAGTACTGAAACCCTTAAGACAATTATCACATTGATAGGGGGTCTCTCCTGTGTGGAGTTGTCGATGAATGCGAAGGGCTGATCTCCCACTGAGGCCTTTGCCACAGTCCTCACATTTAAATGGTTTCTCTTCTGTATGGACTCTTAGATGCGCTTGAAGATGCGAGCTCCAACTGAAGCGTTTCCCACACGTTTCACATTCAAAGGATTTCCTGTCACTATGGAGTCTACAGTAAATACTATGATCTGAGCCATTACTAAAGCTCTTCCCATACCTCTCACAACTACAGGACTTTTTATCCGTGTGAATTAGCTGATGAGCATAGAGAGAAGAACTCTGACAAAAACCCTTACCACAGTCATGGCATTTGTAGGGTTTCTCTACCATGTGAACTCTCTGATGTGTGTGAAGATAGGAGCGCTGCCGGAAGCCCTTACCACAAGCCATGCACTTAAATGGTTTCTCTCCAGTATGGATTCGCTGATGAACCCGAAGATAGGAACTCCGACTGAAGCCCTTAGCACATATATTACATTTGTATGGTTTCTCTCCGCTATGCATTCTCTGGTGGGCTTGAAGATGTGAAGTCTGACTGAAGCCCTTATCACAGTCCTTACATTTATAGGGTTTTTCTCCTGTGTGGATCCTCCTATGAACGTAAAGATGTGAGCTCCAATTAAAACTCTTCCCACATTCCTCACACTTATAAGGTCTCTCAACTGTGTGAACTCTCTGATGGACATGGAGACTTGACTTACTACTGAAACCCTTAAGACACTTATCACATTGATAGAGGGTCTCTTCTGAGTAGACTTGATGATTGGGAAGTACTGATCTTCCACTGAAGCCTTTTCCATAATCCTCACATTTAAATGGTTTCTCTCCTGTGTGGACCCTTAGATCAGCTTGATAATGTAAGCTCTGCCTGAAGTCCTTCCCATACTCCTTGTATGTATAGCATTTCTCTCCACTGTGGATTTGACAATGGATGTTAAGATCAGAGCTACGACTGAAACTCTTCCCACAACTCTCACACCTGAAAGGCTTCTCTTCTGTACGTATTAGCTGATAAGCATGAAAAGAGGAACTCTGATCAAAGCTCTTGCCGTACTCATGACACGTGTAGGGCTTTTCCCCTGTATGGAATCCCTGATGTGTGTGAAGATACGAACTCTGACTGAGGCCCTTACACTCATTACACTTACAGTGTTTCTCTCCTGCACGAACACTCTGATGAATGGGAAGAACTGAGCTATAACCGAAGCCCTTTCCACACTCACCACACATATGGAGCTTCTCCCCGATGTGTGATTTCTGATGAAGTTCAAGACTGGAGGCGTCATCACAGAAACCTCTGCCACACTGATTGCATGTGTAGGTTTTCTCTCCTTTGTCGATCATATTATGCTGACTAAGTGATGATTCCTTCATGAAGTCTTTTCCACTGTGGCTAGAAGCTTTGTCTGTGTGGTGTATTCCATGATCCTCATGGTGGCGTGAGACCCAACTGGAGCTTGGCAGAACACACTGTTCGCATCGACACAGACTTTTTCCCACATGAATCTGCTCACATCTACTGTGATGATCCTGTGACTCACTCAGATACGTTCTCTTTCCCAAATCTTGGACTCTCCAACTTGGAAACTTCTGATTTTTAAAATTATTGTAACTATTCCCTTGAAGATTCATTAGATAGTTCTCCTCTTCAGAAACCGCAATAGGCACTCCTGTCCAGATCTGACAGGGGAAATCATTTTGTTTTAGCAACCAAGGATTATTCCCTTGAAGATTTATCATGGAATCTTGACTTCCAGTTAATTCTCCCACAACCTGTTCCCAGATATAACTGCAGGATAGCTCTTCATATAAATGATACCTTAATCTTTGAAGAGTCTCGATCTCAGTCTTATTTTGATGCTTGTCCTCTGTAAGGATAAAGAGAATTCAGAGGTGAGAATAAATGAATAATTTGTGTGAGATGTCGCGATTTCACACTTTGGCCACAGCAGGAGACCTACACGAACCAGGGGGAAAGCCTCACCCTGACTTTACCATCTCGTATCCTGTTCTTCATTTTATTTGCCTGTGGAAACAAAGAGTTGGCCGTCATGCTTTTGTTTACCAAATGCTAAGACCAGGCAGTGTTTCGTTCTGTTGTATATACGGTTGCTCTGAGTTGGCGCCAACTCGACTGCAACTAACAACAAGACTCATTTAGACCCACACAGTCTAACATGTGAGATGCAAGTAAGAAATTAGGCAGCTGCAGAGCAATAAAAACATTGTAGAAATATTTTACAGTAGAGAAAACTCATCTTCCTACTTCTAAGTGTAGTCAATCAAAAGCCACCTTCTCATTTGAGGAGTATAGAGGGACGTGAAACAACATTAGGCTGCCTTTCTCTATACCTGAAAATCAGGACTGCGTGGCACAATCTATACACTAGACGTATCAACTGTGCTCAAAGCATCCAGGCAAAAGTTTTATGACAGACTGCCATGGGATGCCAAGAGTCCTTAAAGCGACAATTGGAGGAAAGGATATTTTTGGACCACTACCTCTCTATCAGTTTGTTGTACTATGGTGGCTTGCTACTGCTGTAATGCTACGCTACTGGTAGTTCAAACACCCTTTTGGGGTCACTCAGGGTGGACGGGTTCCAACAGAGTTTCTGGACTAAGACAGATAAGGCCTAGAAATTCACTTCTGAAAACTAGCTGATGAAAACCTTATTGATTACAAGGGAATACTATCTGACTTGCTGGCTTTGGACATGTCATTAGCAGGGATCAAACACTGGATGAGGACATCATGTCTGGTGAAGTAGAGAGCCAATGAGGGTGAGGGAAACCCTTCATGAGGTAGACTGGCCCAGTGGCCACAATGGATTCAAACATGCTGTGATGACAGTGATGCACAAGGTGGACAACATTTTGTTCTGTTGTACGTATGGTCGCCATGAATGAGTCAGAGTTACTCAATGGCAACTATCTAAAATTAAATCCTTCTAAGTATGTAACACAGGAACTGTGGTGGGGTAGTGGTTATTTGGCTGCTAATCAAAAAGGTCAGTGGTTCAAACCCACCAGGTGCTCTGCAGAAGAAAGATGAGGTGGTCTGCTTCCATAAAGAAAGACCCCCAATGGGGGGTCACCATGAGTCAGAGTTGACTTGATGGCAGTGAGTTTGGTTTATTTGGGGGGTAAATATACAACTCAGCTATTCAAGACTGCAATAAAGTTACTGGGTGAGAATGATGTTCAATTACAAGTACAAAGTTAAAGCTGTTTAGGGTAAATACAGAAAACTACTGAGAATGTTAGCTCCAATCACATAATCTTCAATCCTTTTAAAGGAGTGTTTTTTCAAACTTTCAAACTGTTTTTTAAACTCAATGTATCCTAAGAAATGAATTTTACATCATGAGCCAGTATACACGTACATATACATAAACTCAGATGCATTCACCATGAGTCAGGATTGACTCAATGGCAAGTAACAACTATACTATCAAAGTGCACCTTCTACTCTTTCTCACACAACTCAGTATAATTGGCTGTTGTTGCCTAAATGTGTGTAATCTTTGCTAAGGTGCTCTCATATTTTCTATTCCATTCTGTTTTATTTTAACTCTTTTCAAAAGAAATTATGACTTGATTCACTAGACTGATTTACAATCCACTGATAGGTCACAACACAGAGCTGGAAAAGGAAAGACGAGACACAGAGCTGCCCATTTATGAATCGCTGACAAGAACAAACATTTGTCCTGGCAGAAAGACTAAAAGTGTCTTCTCTCTGTGGCCCTCTAGGACTAGGGTACTCAGATCCCCAGGCTCAGGGAACTCTTTCAGGGGCCCCAAAGCCCTAAGTGACTGGGGACATCAAAACGTCCTAGAGCAATGATGCCAAGTTACGGAGGGCACCCGTCCTCACCCACTGAGAGCACGTTCCTGAGGTTCTCCAGCATCACGTCGCGGTACAGCATCCTCTGGGTGGAGTCCAGCAGCCCCAGCTCCTCCTCAGTGAAGACCACAGCCACATCCTTGAATGTCACTGCTTCCTACAAAATCAAAGACACAACCTCCTTCTTAACAACCCACGGCCCCTGGAAGAGGCGCAGCACTGACAAGGCAGAGAGGATGGGTGACAAGCTGTTGTGCGGATTCTGAGGGACTCATGTTGGTTTTTTTAAGAGTCCATGGCTGCTATGAATGGTTTGAACTTGACTACTAACCTGCTGGTTGGCGGTTTGAACCCAGCCAGCAGCACCATGAACAAAGGCCTGGTGATCTGCTTCTGTAAAGATCCCAGTCAAGAGAGCCCTGTGGGGTCGCCATGAGTCAGAATCAACTCGGCAGCAACAGGTCTGCTGTTTTGTTTGGTCTTCCCCTCCTCTTTGCCTTCCACACTGCCGACACTACACTGAGTCACCTCACAGTGCTGCAAGTTAACAAAAAAAAAAGGTCCCCACGCTTTTACCTCAGTGCTCCTTGTGACTGTTCTTATAGGTTAAGTCCCAAGAATTTTGTTCCTGAGTCACACGGTATACACATCTGTTGTGTTACCTAGTGCCACTCTGACAGGAATATACCACAAATGGGATGGCTTGAACAAATAGGAGTTTATTCTCTTACAGTTTTGGCGGCTAGAAGTCCAAGTTCAAAGTGCCAGGCTCTAGGGGCTGGGTGAAAGCCCCTCCACCTTGGGCTTCAGCTCTGCCTTTAGCTCCCGGCCCACTGAAGGTGGAGGCTTCTCTTAACTCAGGGAGCTGCTGGCTGCTGAGGCTGACAAAACCCAAGGTCGACAAGTAAAAAGGCACAGTCCTGGTATCACCAAACCACATGGCAGGCCATTAATTCAAGTCCATTAAGAGTCCCAAGATCAGCAGACAACATGGCAGGCTGCTGAACAACTACCTGGCTACATGCAGGGCTCAAGTGTGCCATAAGCTACAGACCACTCTTAAAACTTCTCCTTACAGACAGGGAGCAGACCACATCCCTAAGGCAGCTACTCAGCTGCCCACAGTAGATCCCACCATGGAGTTGGTTACCAGTCTCATCATGGGGAATACTACATCCAGCTGCCCAGCCACTCAACTAGGCCCAGCCAAGTTGAAACATAACCCTAACCACCACAACATTTTACAACGGGATTAATGACTCTCTGCCCACTCATTTGCTGGTAACTTTTGCCACACTCACCAGCCTTCAGTTATCCTTCCTGGGTGGTAGGGATTAGTCCTCTGTGCTCTCAGGACACCTGTCACGTCCATCTACTGCAGGACTCACAGTACTGAGGTGAGGTGCACAGTTCTAGAGCCAGACTGTCCTGGTGCATACCCTGAGGCCCTGCTGCTTGCCAGCTGTGTGCCCTTGGATAAATTACTCACTCTCTGAATCTCTGGTCTTGCCTTATTTGTAAAACAGGGATAACAGTGGTAATGACATCATGAAGTTATTCTAAGTTTTACATTAATGAATACATGTAGAGCTCTTAGAACAGTGCCTGATGGATAGTAAGGACTCAGTCAATGTTAGCTATCGTCATCACAAACATCAGCATCATCAACTGCACTCACTGAAAGGCTAAAGAGTATTTCATGAAATTCATGATCTATTATTTATTAAACCAAGAAGCCCTGGTTAAGTGCTTAGCTACTGCTAACTGAACAGTTGGAAGTTTGACCCTACCAGCTGCTTCTAAGGAGAAAGACAAAAAGACCTGGAGATGTGCTCCTATAAAGATTTAAAAAAAAAAAAAAAAAAAAACAAACTCCAAACTTATTGCCATGGAGTCGACCCTGACTCACAGTGACCCCACAGGACCGAGTAGAACTGCACCATGGGGTTTCCAAGGCTGTAAATCTTTACAAAAGCAGGTTGCCACTGCATTCTCCTGTTGAGCAGCTGGTGGGTTTGAACCGCCAACCCTTCGGTTAGTGGTCAAGTGCTTAACCACTTGTACCAACAGGATTCCTTCCATAAAGGTCCAGCCTTAGAAACCCTACAGGGCAGTTGTGCTCTACCCTCTACGGGTGCTATGAGTCGGAATCGACCTGCTGGCAATAGGCTTCGTTTGAGTTTTGCTTCCAGAAAGACTTACAGCCTTGGAAACCCTACGGGGCAGTTCTACTGTCTCACATGAGGTCACTACGCGTTGAAACTGATTTGACGGCAGTGAGTTTGGGGTGTAATACATTTAACCCATCCAATTAACAGACATTTACTTTTAGACTTTATCTTCAGCCCAACAGTCTGATTATTAAGAAAATTTCCAGTAAGCTGAAACTGCAATGTCAAAGTATATTCTCCTTTAAAATTCTGATAATACGTCAGCTCACCTTCCCAGAATACCTTCCTCCAATAAGGTAAACAATCACTGATTGGCCTTACCT